GGGCCCCCCTCCTCCCGGCTTGGTGGGCCGTCGTTAGGGGCAGCTGCTCTCCTCATAGCGGCTGCTCTGTCTGCGAAAGTACCCGTGACTAAGTGCTGTCGTTACCGGTCCTACACGTAGTGGCGTGTTAATAGCGCCGGAAGCATTCGTGCCTTCCTACGCGTAGCGGTTTTGGCTGTGCTTATCGTCTCCGTCGTGCAAACGGGGCCCTGGGGCGGGGGGCACGACGGTGCTCTCTGCAGCTCTTGGCGGGGGTCGGGGGGGAAGGTCTGCGCGGAGTGAGGACGGGTGCTGGCAGGCGGTGATCCTTTAATTTGTTAGGTGCGTAGAGGGTGAAACCGGAGACGGGTATGTATGAAGAGGTAGTAAGCGTCAGCTGTGAACGAGAGCAGCGTGAGTGGGAGAGGCGTTAACGCCGCACTGAGCTAGTGATTTGCAGGTGCTGTTATCATACATAACTTTTGGATCGGTAATATAGAGCTCTATACCGGACAGTTTCCCCATAGTATATATTTACTCCGCTCTGCTCTTCAGCGAGGTTGTTTCTGGTGTGTATATTTGCTTGCAGGGCACTTTGCTTTACGCAGAAAGTAATAAAGCTTTCCTCTCAGTAAATTGCACTCTGTAAAGTACATGTGTCCTTTGTCTTTTTGAGTAGTAAGCTAATAGGGACCTTTCTTTAAGGGTAAGAATTGTTTTGGAAGCTTCAGCCCAGCCTCAAGTTAAATAAATGTCAATTCCAAGTAGAAGTTAGTGTACAGTGAGGTACACCATAAATACTTTCATTTCTTAACAACAATTTAAAAGTGATCTTTTTAACTTTTCATTCTTTTTAAAAAGACTATGATTATATAATTTAAGACATAAGTTATATGATCATATGAATCAAGTTAAATTTTTCCATCCTCACTGAACTTCAGAATGACTTGAAAACTTCTCGATGACTGGAGATGTCCATCTGTAGTACACACGCTTTTCATTTTGGCCTCCCTTACTTCCTTTTTTCCCCACAAGGTTCTATGTGTCTATTTCTAAAATACTATTAAAAGGATATTTATATTGGTCTCTTCCCTATTCTCAGATCTGCAACTATGAGGAAATGTGATGACTTTGTGTGTGTGTGTGTGTGGTTTTTTTTTTTTTTTTCATTTTTTTAATACCCTTTAGAACAGGCTATTTAGAAAGCTCTTCTAAAAGTGTAGCATTTTTTATCTGTCTGGATAGTGGAGATTAAAAATAGAATTTATAAGAATAAAACATTTACGTTCAGAAGAGTTGTATTTCCAGTTTGGTAAAAAGTTTTCTTCTTTAAACCAGTTAAGAGATTTTATCCCTTTTATGATGATTTGACGAGAGAAAATATGAGCAATAGGAAGAAGTATGTGAAACAAACGACGTGATGTATTGTTTTCTTTTGCTTCTACCTCAACACTGCTGTAGTTTAGAAATAAAGTCACAAGTAGATTGAGAATTTCTCTAGTAAGTCTGAACATAGCAACATATTTGAGGACAGCAAAACTTCAGTTGATAAAATTACAGTTAGGCATTGCTTCATTCAGAGAAACGGATTCAATCAGTTTTTTTTGTTTGTGTATATTGTCCAACCCTGTCTACTCAAACAATAATGACATTTATTACAGTACATGATCGTAATGTTCTCTTCTTAGTTTAAAATGATGATTATGTTCCAGAACAGTTTCAGAGAGAAACAATAGTGAAGGGTGGAGATGGAGGTTAGAAGATGTTGGTAAAAGAGGAAAGGAGGTGTGTGTATTTAAATTCTGAATAGAATACGTGATGAATTAAAGGAAGACACATGGAAGAGAATTCCACGTGACCAAACTGTAGGAGAAATGGTTCCTTCGCTAACAGTGACCTGGCTGCAAAAGGAGATGAAATTCGAAGTGCTGCATAGATTTTTCTATTTAAAAAAAAAAAAAAGAGAACATGGAGGAGGAAACGGAACAAGTCAAGAAACGTTTTCTGATAAAGAATGAACTAATGAAGGGCATAGGTAGCCTATATAATAGCATGTATATTGGAATGATGAAATTGTACATTTGTAATGTAGTTACTTGAAGCATTCCCCTGTACATCACCCTTTACCGGAAAGCTTTATGTTTAAAAAGAAAAAAAGAAGGGCGGAGGGGAAGGGGGAAGAAGAACAAAAAAAGAGCAAAAGATCTCTTTCTAACTCAGCCAATTAAAAAGATCTTTAAAAAATCATTCTTACGTTTGGATTCTTCTGTGGCCACAGAAGAAATCAGAGTAGAGATAATGTATGTTTTAGACCTAAAATTTTCAGTTTATACTGTGCTCCCAGGGGCTTGAAGCTTTTTAGGTCTGCAAGGGTGTTAAACAGCTTTACGTTTTTGAGTAGTCACTTTGTGTTTAAGATGACCTGCCCAGCAGCCTTTTGCTTTTCAAACTTTTTTTTCTTACTCTTTTAAGCATGTTTTACTGTATGTTTGTATGAACCAAATGTTTCAATTACTGAACAATAATAATTTGATGTCCAAAAGGCCTTTTCTAAGTTCTTAAGTGCATTTTTTAAGATCAGTATTGTTTTTTTTTTTTTTTTTGCAGATGGCTATGCTCCGTTTCTTTCTTTGACAAGTCGAGGTTTGACATTTACTGCTCAAAATACAGATGATACTGCTCCAGGACCAGGACACTATAATACTACCAGAACACAGGTAGAATTGCAATAATTGCATGAAGACAGATGAAGTTGGAAACATCATTCTAGGATAGTAACAACCAGCAGTACCGTTTTAACAAATTTTATTGGAATAATCTTTTTTTTACAAGTTGGTTAACAGTGCAAAAAACCACAGGAAGATGCCATTTCTACGATTGTTACTTAGTCTCATTTTTCCTATGTGTGTTTCCCCTTGTTTCTTCTTTTTTCCTTAATAAGATACTTCTCATGTAGTCCCCTGGCGCTGGGTGCTTCCTGATATTTCGATATCTCAGTTTTGCCTTGATCTTTTTAGATAGTTGTCATATTTCCTGAACAATTTGATTTTTATTACTTATTTCGAGTTACAGATCATGCTATAGCAAAACATTTCTCTGTAGCCTAATGAACTAAGGAGAACAATTTCTAAGGAGCTAAGATTTGCACATTCATTTTGTTAAGTATTTATCTGTGAAAGAGAAAAGTGAATTTGGTTGATGCTGAGAGATAGAGACCTTCCCAGACAGACAAACTTTTACTGCTTCATTTTGCTCATATATTTTGCTCATATATTGATTTCTAAATAACAATAACAAAAAGGAGAACTTGTAATTTAAATGAATGGCATCATTTTCCATATGGTAGGTCTCTTTGACTAGTGCTGCGTTTACGGAACTAGAAATGTAACCAGATTTTACAGCTCTGGAATTGTCCAATTCCTTAATCTATATTTAAGAGAAAGCAGGATTTTGGCAGACTTTATGGCTGAGGTGTGCATGTCCCCTGTCAGATTGTATAATCCAGCCCGATGTTGAGACTCTATTACTTAAACTGAACATGGGGCAAAATTGACACTTGGGAAAGATTATGGAGTTTGGCATGGTGTATCCTCTTGTTAGTGAAGTTGTAAAACCCTCGAATTAAAATAGGGCAGAGGTTAATAAAATTCAGGTAGAATAAAAATAGGCAGCTGAACAAAATATATTCATGCTTTTTTGTAAACGTAAAAATTTTAAAAAACAGGAAAAGGGAACTGGAATGCTTGATGTTAAAAGATACTGACATAACATTCATATCAGAAATTTGGAGGAAAGAAAACAATCGCCTGGACTTTGTAATGTCAGTATACAAATTCTATAAGAGAGACAGATGTTTTGTGTTTGTTGTTTGTAAAACAAAACAAACTCCAAAACCCACACAAACAACCCTTGCCTAAGCCCTGTTAAAGTCAGATCATACAACTAAGTTAAGTGTGTTAAGCTATTGTATTTAGCTGTTATAAACTGGATTGAAATTCTGTGCCTCAATAGCAAAAGTATAGTGTTAGACCGATAAGGACGGTCATGTGCTAAGGAAGATCAAGGAGACTGTGCTGGCAAGAAGTAGAGTTAAGGGGAAGGTTTTGGTTACTCCTCTATGTGTTGGGTAGAGGTCTCATTGGGTTTGTCAGTGTGCTGAGACTGGTTTTTTAGCAACAATAAATAACTATTTCACGGACTGCAGAAAAGGAGAGCTATTTTTGACCGGAGCAGGATGTTTTGATGTTACTACTTTCTAGCTGGAATATGAGTAACCATAAAGTACATAAATTTAGCATCCTTGAAAGGACTGCTGGTGTTGTGACTAGGGAATATGAAGCAGGGATCAAGTAGGGGAAAAAAAAAATCTGTATTGGACATGAATCTTGTGAAATCTTTGGAGAGAACAGTAAGTCTTCCTTACTCCTTCATCCTTGCACCAAAAAATGCTGCTGTTGCAATTCTGTTCTTCGAGTGCAGGAGTTTGGTCGTCTTAATGCTTTCTTGGGTACTTTAAGGCAGCTCAGGAAGAATTTTTGGATCTTTTCCTGTCTGCTAGCAAAACTAATTGAATGTGTGGGAAAGTGTCCCTCGCTACTGGAAGATGAGCAGTGATGCTGTTTGCCTGAGGCAGTACTACTTATTACTCCCAAAGAAGAGCAATCTTTATAACTTGAAATGGAATCCCTATTTGGATGTATAATAAGTCCATATGTCAGGAAGAACGAAGTAAATTTGGCTTTTTAAGCTTTAAGATATAAGGTAAAATTTACAGTTTGTTCACAGGATGAGAGCAAAGCATGCCTATTATCAGTGCAAACAGTCACAGAGTATATAAAACAATGCAGCTAGAGACAGGATTAAAACTCTCCTAAAACACATCCAAATCATGGAACTAATTGACAATGACAACTTTATTATAGTTGCATAATATGTAATATATTTATTACATTATATATATTTATAAGTATAAAAATATACTTATTTTTAGGGCTTTTTTTTTTCACTGCACAATTGTTTAAAACAGGCTGACTGCTATATACACCCCCAAGTGGGAAAAGGTGATAGTGCTGCTGCATTCAATTTTGTACTAGAGTGATTAAATGATAGTCATAGTACAGCGTATCATAAAGTCTCTTCACTGCTTCTCCTCATTTATCATCATCTTCTTGAATCTTCCTCCAGCTTAAATTATAATGGGAAAAGATTAAAAAATTCACTAAGCAGTGATTTATGTATGTTGTCCTTTACTCTGTTTTCAGATGTAATAGTTTGAAGTTAATGGGGTAAACATAAAGTGGTTTAATCTTTGTTGGCACTTCAAATTAATTATTGGTTGCTCATTGCGGAAGTTCTGGATCACCATTCTCTTTTATGAGAGGACAGTGGTGAGAAGAATATGCTACAAAGAGTGACAGATGACCAGCTTCACAGAACAGCATCTTTTCTTCCCATTTCAACTGAGATGGGTCATGTTACCTACTTCTGTTAATTTAGTGTTGTACTACATTGTTTTCCATCACACCTGCCATGATACTATGTAAATAATGGAATGTGTTACAATGTGAGATAACGTTGCTCAAAAAAAATAAAGCAAGCCATACCTGAAATTTTGCATCTATTAAAATTGCTTATTTTTAAAGTGTTCAGGAAATGCATTTTCAGTGGTTGACAGTACCGGCACTAATGATGAAGTTTTTTGGAATTCCCCCAAAGTTTTCATGTTTTCATTCCAGTTTGTGTCTTAGGTCCCATTTAAAATAAAAAGTCAAGTACTTGACTCTTTCCTAATTAATTTTCTTGACTGATGATTACACTTTTCAGGTACAACCCACCACAGGCCGTTCCCATTGTTTTAACAATTACTGTGGAGCTGATATGTAAAACCGCGTAAATTCTCCAGAAGGTATCAAAAGATTAAAGCTGTAGCTTCTTACCTGTTAACAGAACACAGTTTGTTAGTTCTAGGTTGATATAGTTGAAGTATAGAACTTTTGTACATGTAGCTCAGTTAAAACTAAAATGTTTAGGCCAATAAAATGTTTGAAAATGGGCAAGTGCATCTTTCGTTGTGTGTGTGTATATGTGTGTTTGGAACCTAGTGTTCTGAGGTCTTGATCAATGACAGTGTCTTTACCATTATACAGCAGATAATAGCAAAATAGTGGAGTGAGTTTGTTTGTTTTTGAACAGTTTGAATCATCATTTTGCTTTATTGGAAATCTTTGGGATACCTGCTGTAATTTACCAAAATTTTAGAAACAGTAATGTGTTGGAGGGTACAGAGGAGAAACAAGAATTTTTAGCCTCTTTATCCATGTGATGACTCTTCCTTATTGAAGTCAAGTAAAACAACTTCAAGAAAAGTAACTGTTTTCAGTGGTTTAATATAAATATAAATGGCCATAGATCTTATTTTATTTTTACAGTTGCATCTAAGCATCAGAATTTTTTTAAAAAAAGTATCAGGTTCATAGATGATTTTGCTAATAGTTTTCTATTTTTTAAAAATATATTTTAGAACACTATAAAAGGTGGCAAGAGTCTGCAAAATAAAGAGAAGCGCTTCAAAGAGATCAGCACAGTTACTCCAGGACCTGGCAGCTATAACCATGCTTGTGCCGTGGAGTTGGCTACAGATAGCAAAAAGCAGCAAGATTCTAAAGAGCGTAGTCAGGTGGTATGCTAGTTCTAAAAGCCCATGTAATGTTAATTTGCTTTTTAAATAAACGATCACAAGTGTGCAGTACTATATTTGAAAAAAAATTATTTTTACTAATATTCTGAAAAGCTAAGCTTAGCTATGCGAGTGCAAAAATGATTGAACGTTTGCACATTTATGCTTGTGTCCACAGTATGCAAAACCTGCTTTTTGCAACAGTTTTGAAGTTACTGAAATGTATTTTGCTTTATATACGAGCAGTTGCTTTAGATACAAGCAATTGCTTTGCTATTAACCTAACAGATCAAAAAAAAAATCTAGCTATTGATGCTAATCTATGAAAAAAGCTACTGAGCTTGGTAGATAAACAGATTTTTGGAATTTAATTTGCAGTAGATGTGGAAGCTACATAAAAGCAGCTGAGGTTTTTCACATTACTAAATGGTAGGCAGGGCCAACATGCTGATGCCTTCTGGTGGTTGTAAACACCTAAGTGCTGTTGAGCATTCCTGAACGTAATGGAGAAGCCAGGAGGTAAACACTGTGTTTTTTGTTTGGCTTAGAGGGAGTGTGATTAACCCTAGTAGCCGTGACCTCGTATGGTTTCACAATTTAATTGGTTTATGCTTGTGTAACAATGCAACACAGGTAACGTTATGTGTCCACACATGTGACATTATCAAGTTATCACTGCTGTGGGATTACCTATTGGTTCTGTAGTATTCGTACCATAATGTGAAAAATAAATAGTTTTGTATAACATAGGGCTTTCACTTGCTTCAGGGATACCCATCTTCAGTTTATTCGCTGTTTGTTAATTTGCTGTTAATCTACTATAAAGCATATATAATATTTATATGTGTGTCTGTATATATATATATATTTATTTATATTTTTTTATTTTTCTTTCTCAGAGAGCTGTAGACTCTATAAAAATCTGCAGAGAGGTGGGTGTTCCCTCTATTCCTTCTCCATGTCAGGCTTTTGGATATGAGGAAGCTGAAGATGGCACTCTTAGAAAACAATACCCACCTCAGAGAGACCTAACGTTAGGCCCAGCTTACTATCAGCCACTCCTTGTAAGTAACTTTTTAATGACTGTCATATCAGTGAAGATAACAAAATAATTAATTTTTTTTTGAAATTGTCCTGTTACGTTTTCTTCCAGAATAAAAAATAGAACTGGTGCCACAATATTCCTGGCTATAAAAAGGGATGCTTCTGGAGGATAAGGATACAAGTCTAATGAAGTCTCAAGTAGTACCTGCTTCTCTGTTTCTTTTGACTAAAAGACTAGGAAAAAAACCCTGTAGCTTTGAAAGAGAGATACTACTGCTTTTTCTGCTTGGACAGAAAGAGAATGCAATAGCAGGCAATAACTCTGCAAGCAGTACTAAAGAGGCTTAATGTGTAAATGCTGAACTGAAATGAATTTCGTAAGCTGGATAAACCCCTTCCGTGGTGACTAGATGGTTTGTGAAAGATATTAACCTTTCTGTTTAAATAAGTTCTGTTCTTTTCTCTTGTTGTTAAGATAGTTTTCTCTGTAACTAGCAAGACTTTACTTCCTCAGTGGATATGCAGGCTGATGGAAACAAAATCCGTGAGACCTGAACTATGTTATTTATTGAATGAGCGAGCTGAATGGATGCTTAATGATATCCAGTTAGAAGCTTTAAGATTAGTCTTCATGCTGATAATTTCGGCCAAAAAATGTTTCTTTGGGCTTACGTTAAAAGATTGCAGAATACTTTTTTTTTTTTTTTGAACTTTTGAAGTTCAAAGTAATTGAGTCCAGGATTTCTGAACCTGAATGTTTCTCCCCATTTCTCTTTTGTTACTGAATGTTAGTGAAACTTAGTCTGTTTCTCATCTCCCTGTGAAGGATAATCTACATGAAGGATACTCGTCTACTGCTTTTTACTCCATTAGATCCAATGAGAGACCAGTGTGAGACACAGCCCAGTGTCTCAGTCTTGACTAACATAACCTTCATGGTGGTCAATATGCATCAGTGTCATTCCACAGGATAGAATTTCTGGATTTTCAGTTTGCCTTTTAAATACTTCTAGGGAGATGCATTAAGATGTTAAAACCTACATTAAAAATACCTTTAGCAGATAAAAGTGAAACACTTAAATCGGAGATCACAGGAATAGGGCTGTCTGTTTGACAGTTTGATTCTGCTGTGTGTGTGTTGCTTTTGCAGTCTTTACTTACGTGGTTACCTTTGTCTGACACAGCACTCCACTTGGACAGAATACACACACTGAATATCTGTACAGATAGAGTTAAAAATTACAAATTCAGTTCTTTGTTTATTGGGTATGGGGCGGGGGGCTGGATCTTCGTATCATGTAAATTGCATATAACAGTTGAAGTTGTGATATTGGCCATCCATCTCATTAGAACATCAGCAGTGAAAAGTAGCTATACCAAATAATTACCACTTTCCTACTTTTCTTCATGGTATTAAATACAACAGGAAAACATCAAAAGACTCTTAAAACCCTGATGCAATATTGTGGGGATCATAAGCAAGAAACCCGCTTACACTTAATGATTTTTTTTTAAATATCACAGAAAAGACAAGTAAAATTTTGCTGTAGACTGGAAAAATATGATTCCAGTGTATTAGGCGTCCCGAGTACTGCTTTAAAAATACATCATGCATACATTTTATTTTTGTTTGCAAGTGTTAATATTCCAGATCTCATTTTTTTTTCTCCAGCGTTCGCAAAGGAAAGAGATTCTTCCCCCTTTCTGCCTTCCCTAAGAAGTTATGGATTCTATCTTAAAGTCATACAGTTCTTTGATAGTGCTTTCTAAGCTACAGGGGTCAACTATATGCAGAAAACACTTGGAAGTTTCAGTATTTCATCTAAGATTTCAGTATGTGAGACCTGTTGTATCGTAGATATGCATGAATTCCTTCTTTGAATCTATTTTCTTATAATTGTATTTCATTAGAAAAATAATGACTGTAAAAACAATAAGCTTTGACTGCTCTACTGTTTTCCAGATCGTAGTAAGTTGTGGTATTATTTATATTTTTTTCCTCAGAAGTGTCAGATATTACAGTAAAATATGGCAATTTTACCATAAAAAATAAAACCCTCGAATCAAAAGCGTCTGGCAAAAAATCTGCCCAACTTAGTACTACTACTTACTGCAGCTGTTATCACTGCTAGGTTTTTGGCTGCCACATTTCCATATCCTGATTATAAAGTTTATCTCCTCACAATTCTCTATATGCTTGTCTCTAATTAAAATGGTATTGTTGAAGGTCAGGATAGAGATGTATTAAAATTTTTTCAAAAGATACTTGAGTTCTAATTGTGTGAGTCGTTTTAACAGTGTAGTTGATGTGTCTAGATCAGTCTGCTGCAAAAAATGCTAATTTCAAAGTGTATAGATTACCACTTTATTTTTACTCTGAAGTCTTTTAGTTCTAGCCTAACTCCCTGCTTTTAGTTCTAGCCTAACTCCCTGCTTATTCAAAGCATTAATTATTTTTTTAATTTTCAGTCAATTATATCACTTTTAGAACTGAAAGGCCTTAAATATAATATCAAGTCTGCATTCCAAAGACAGATGCTCTTTTAATTGAGATGACTTTTATATGTTAGCAGTTCCACTTTCAATCCATTTTGAGACAAGATACATTCAAATTCAGTAAGACATGCATTATATTTCTTCTTTTTTCTTTTCTGTTTGTGAGATCTGAATTTTTAGCATGTTATGATAAAGTGGGTTTTTTTAATGTTTCTGTTGTATCTTCTCAAAGAAATTGCAGATTAAAAATCTCCTATTTGAAAGGTTTCAATAGCTAACGTTCACTGTTCCTTACTACAGGTGATTCTGAAGTGGCAGCATCAGCTATGTTTAGCATTTATGAAGAAGGGCACATTTGAGCAATACTAATTGAGTGGTTTGAGTTATAGTTCATAATCAACCAAAATAAAAGGAGAATAATTAATTACTTATTTTTGGTTACTATTTTTTCCCTGGAATTATTTTCCCAAGAATTGCATTAGGGGGCAGCAAAGTCATTTAGTTGAACCAATTTGCAGCCATTTTTAAGTATTTCATGCTGTCGCTGCAGTACTTAACATTTTTGTTAGGAATCGCATTTTCTGTGGATGCTTTGTATTGCTGTTGCAAAGCCCCAGCCTGGTGCGTAGTATTTTTAAAGCATTAAATAAGCAAACATGAATAGTCCTTAGCTCTTCAAATGAAGACTCTGTGTATTATTGCAGGTATGCAAATGAAGAACTAAGGCAAGGAAATTAAGTGGCATAGTGAAAAGGTGTTTGGCGAGGTCAAGATTTCAACCTGAAATAGCAGTTTCTGATTTCTGGATTTGAACTGTTTCAAGATAGCATTTTAGCTCTCTGTATGTTTTATCTTTCAGGCAGGAAGAGACAAAAGAAAAGGAAAACTGATAGAATGTGTGATTAAAAAGTGCCTGTTTTGAACGAAAACTTTTATGTAACTTATTCAGAAACAATTTTTGAAGTCTAGATTTAACAGATGGAAAAAAATACAGCTTTTCACGAGAATTTAAAATGATTGTATTTTAAAGAATGCTGACCATTTTTAACCACTATTAAAATGCAACCTCTGTAATATTTTGTTCCATACTATGGTGTATGAACGCAAAGGAAATTAAGAACTCTTAGATGCAAATTACTTTGTAAATACCAACCATTACTGTTATTTTAGCATAAGTATTACTGAATATTAGTACAACGGAGCTTAACGAAACTGTCAGAAGAGCAGGCAAATTTTGTCAGATCTTGGGTTCAGGAGGCTGTGCGATATCTTGATGCTGATATTGTAACGTATTTTCACTATGACAATTTTCCATTTAATGTGTGGACAAGATTAGTATTTAAAGAAGGTTGGCTGCTTCTGAGGTAATTGTTCTGTATAGAAAACAGGCCACAAAATCATAAAGCTTTGAGAAATTTGGAAGTTAATTTGTCTACTGTATTTACATCTCTAATTTGTTGACAAACTAAGACTTAAGGACAAAGGGGGAGCTTTGTTTCTGTCCGTGAGGGGAAATAACGAACACCCTCATGCCAAAAGACAAGCGTCTTTCAAGAATACAATTAGTAGTCTGTGTTTCAGGAACAAGCCCCTAACTTCAGCAAAGGATTTAATTGGCTCAGTGCTTTCTAAGTCAAGCTATTACTACAGATGATCTTAGCAGTCATTACCTTATCTTTAACTACCATTCCTTCTTATGAGTAGAAATGTTATAGTATGGCCCTGTCTGTTTTGGGTCTGTGTGTGTTTTTATGTAGTCCTACTTGGCTTCTGTTCATAGGCTTTTTGCCATTTTTTTTTTCCTGATCTCGGATTGCATTTACCTATTTTAATTTGGCTTTAGACTTGAATACAGGATAGAAATACTGGTCACAGTTTGCGATCACGCTTTTAAACTAGTCAAAACTAAAGGTTAGAGTTTGGTTAGAGTAGGAGGAAAAATTTAAGTGCTTCATTGAAGCCTGTTCATCCACATGTTCAACTTCTTGTTCTGAATTTGTCAGTTGCTTTTAATAAAATTCTGCTTTTTTGGATATGTTTCTGATTCTGCTACGGACAGAGATAATGTTTCCTGAATTCTGTCTTGTATTACTATGGGTATGTGCTTCTGATAAGCAATGAATTTCCAAAGCATAGTCTCTGTCAAACAGATGTAGGACTCAGTCCAGCAAAGCACTTAAGTATATACTTAACTATTAATATCTAACTATTGCATTTGACTGCAGTAGGACTGCTTCCATGTTTCAAACTAAGAACATACTGAAGTGCTGTAGTGGATTGATGCCCACATGTCGTGCCAAGGAAGAGCAACAAATTTGTATTATGTTAACGAGCCAGTCCCTCTGATACAGATAGAGATTTGCAAAGCTTTCCATTAAAAAAAATTGAAATCCTATTTACAATGGCAAGTATTCTAGCTATTTAAACATATGTACCCTAAATATCACAGAGTTAGTTTAAAAAAAGACAGCTATTCATTTTCAGTTGCTCTTACGGTGAGTCTCCACATGTTTTGCTAGATTGG